GAGCCCGCCCCCGGGGGAGGTTCCGGGGGGGGGGGGTTAATGTGTGGGTTTTTTAAATATTTTTTTTTTCCTTCCTCTTCAGTCACACCTGCCCTTGGGTGTGTAGACTCGAGTCTCGCAGCTGAAAGACACAACTTTCAACGTGGTTTAGAAAAATCCGCGTTTGGATGTAGACGCTAGCCGCTGTGGCCGGTGTTTCGGTCCGATTACACGTGCAGCTCAAACAGCTGAGAAGTGTTTCATAGTGGTTAAGTGGCGATGCACAGGCAGATAATGTGTGCCCCGCTTACAGTACCTGGTTTTTCAGCCCACGATTTGGGGTGCGGGGGGTGTCAAGTGATCAGTTTGAGCCGAGGCAGAAATTTGGATGAGGAGGGAAGACTACAAGGGAGATGAACAGTAACACATACCTTCTCTTAATCACAAAGTCTTTTTTGAACTGAGCACTAATTACAGTATGTCCCGGATCCGGTATTTGGCCTGTGTCATTTAGCAGACTGTAGTTCCCCTGCGTTTGGTTTGCTGAAGGTTATGAACCTGCCTAGGTGATGGCATTGACTCTGCTATTCCAGAACAGGCCCGCGAGCGGGAAACAAAGCTGTGACATGGCCTAAGAGCAAATTTAACATGCTTTAGTTGAACAGCAGTCACATCAGTAAATGTGGAGGAAAGCCCATAGCTTGAAGGAAGGGAATCTGCTTTGATGTTAAATCTGTGCTTTGACGTGTTAAAATGAAAAACTAATGATGTGCTTTGGTTTCTTTGTGCTTTGCTTTAAGGGCATGTGTGTATCATCTTGATAAGTATTGTCTTTATTTATAAATACTGTATTTGTGTAATCTTAACTCTTCCTTTTTTCCACAAAAGCAGCTGGAAGCCATTTGTGTCCAAGTTCAGCCAGGACAGATGAAGGAAACTGAAAGGCCGATGCCATCATTGGCACCAATCCAGTCCAAAACTATAACGCTGAGTCAGCCGGTTGGTAGAAATTCTAGTGTACCAGGACTTGGCATTATTAATCCCCAGATAATTAGGATACAGCCTGTTACAGGAACTGAGCAGCAGCTATTCTTGCATAGTTCTTCTGAGTCTCCAATTCAGTTGCTTATGCAGAGACCTTTACCATCTCATGGATCAGTGTCTGTGAACAAGATTCCCATATCTAAGATGCTAAATGGACAGAAAGCTACCCGTGCCACAGTATCTGCTACAAGGTCTCCAAATATTACCGTGGTTGCAAATTCAGCAAATACTCCGATACCATGCCTTGAAAAAAAACAGAAAGATGACAAGCTAAAAAAGTCCTTGAACGTGAAAACTCGTTCCGGACGGATTTCACGCCCTCCCAAATACAAAGCTAAAGATTATAAATTCATTAAAATGGAGGATTTGGCTGATGGTCATCAGTCTGATTCTGATGACTACTCTGAGCTGAGTATAGAAGATGATGAAGAAGGAAAAGTGAAGGGAAAGGATGCATTATTCAGTTCTTCAAATTATAATCTGAAACCCAAAATGTTTAAATGTCAGACTTGTGAAAAATCCTATATAGGAAAAGGAGGATTAGCAAGGCATTATAAACTTAACCCAGGCCATGGACAGCTGGAGTCTTCACCTCAAAAAATACCTTTAAATAAGCCTAATGGAAGTATATTTGTGGACAATGCCTGTGGAATAAGAGAGGAAGTGATGAGTCCAGCACGTTTGGATTCAATTGCTGTCACTTTAAATAATGAAAATGCGCTAGCTACCAATCTGGAAGAAACTGTTGATTCAAAGGCTGGAGAACAGGTAAAGCGTGTTACTTAGAAAAGCTGACAGTTCTGTGGAAAGTAGAATCGCAGTTTTGTAGCCGCATTGTCTTGTACTGCTCAGAAATAACCACCAATATACGAAATAAAACCAGTTGCCCATTGAAGTGCTTTAAAAAACAAATTATTGTCTCTTGCAGCGTTGCAGGAATAGTATTCTTGCACAGGCACATAAATCAAAATGTTCACTGAGTGTTCATTTGTTACTGGTTTTCTGACATGCCGTTTTCAGCTTGAAAAAACCTTGTCTGCGTAAATAGGATTCTTTGCATTCAGATATGACTACAGTGTTGTTCAGTTACAGCCTTTAGCATGACAGACAGCAAGACATCATCTGCCCTATTAATTTCTGATACTGAAATAGTGTTATCACAGAAAAATCTCTTATTTGGAATCCAACAGTGGACCGCAGCTTTTCCTAGAGCAGGTTTTCAAAGTGTGGCTTAGCTACCCCTGCAGACCAAACGCTTTGTTGAATCTTGAGTCTCTGGGTTGGAAGCTATTTTAGCTGCAATTTTTTTTTCCATGATGTTTTAAGCTGGTCACTTCAAAGTAAAGTTTCTCTTTTAATATTAAAATATTAACATCTTGCAGTAAGAGCTGATACAGCTGGTGTCTAGGAAAAAATACTAGTTTAGATGTAGCAATGTCACATGTGTTACATTTATTTGTAAATGTGAAGTTGTTCTCAGAAATGTGAAAATGTAGAGCTTAAGATGCCAATGCAGCAAGAGAACATCCCCCATCCTCTACACTCTTATATCATCTTTGGAAAAAGAGAATTGCAGAACACAGAGGTCTGCTCTCTGTATTATTATATAGTTGTTACTTCCCTGTGCAGCACTTATTTTACCCAGGATGATGAGAATTTAGAAAAATTTCAGTCAGTCTCATACGCAATACTATTACTGACTGCTAGATTGCTATTGTATTTGCTACTTTTAACTAGCAAATACGGATTCT